AGCAGTCAACTTGATACTTCTTGCAGTATTTGCCTATTGTTAACTAAATTAGATAGTAAAATAAAAAATGACATTATTGGTCTATTTTTAGAATAAAGGACATTAAATATGAGCCAAAAACGCTTAAAAACATTTTTTTCATAAAACCAACTTAAAAGTTAGAATTGCCGGCGATTTTCGTCATGCTTTTGATATCAACATTTCTGGCAGAGCCTAAGCTTTACGTTGATGCCAAGTTTAGCTGCCAATATCTGCCACCCTGCATTTAGCAAGCGATTTAATATACCCCCCCCCCCCTACAAAAGCGCCGTTTTTTAATTAAGGCATACGATAAAATCATTCCTGCAGCCATTGGGTGCCAAATGTAAAATCTAGTACACTCGATTTCCAGTGCCATATCTAGGAGTGAATTGGGGAGGGAGATCATTGGTGGATCTGGAGGGGTCAGGGTCCTGACTACAACCCCTTGGACAAAAACATTAAATAAATAAATATTTAAAAATAATTCTAGACTTACTTTTCCAGGACCCGTAAGCTGATTATTGAATTTTGTGTTACAATTGGACAATTAAATGTCGGAAATGCTCAATCAAAATTTTGATGGGGGATGACCCCGTTTCAAAAAAGAAAAGAAAAGAAAGAAAAAAAAAGAATGTGTAAGCAATTAATCATATTTATACCTCTACACACAATAGGCCTCTTTACTGTATTAAAAATCAGAAAATTTACCTGACCGTTTTCAATAGGGTAAACCTTGATTTTGTTTTTATTAAAGGACATTAAAAGATACTTCAGAAGTCTGAAAAGCTCACTTCCCGCAATCTAGGAATCAAAATTTTCCAGGGGCTAACATGATTCCGCGCCTCTCCCCCGGTTCCTCTTTAGGGTTCATCGATTCATTAAAAAACGTCAAGAGAGGGAAACCAAAATTTCAGAAGTTGAGAAAACCCGTTTTCCGACATAGAGGAATCAACATTTTCCCACCACCGTCCTATTTGGGGTTCATCGGTTCATGGAAAATAGGCCTACGTATGCAACTACTCATTTTTTTTATACACACATAGGCCTGTTTACTGTAATAAGAATGACAAAGTTGACATGAATGTTTTCAAGGGAGGGAAAGTCTTGAACTTTAAAAAACTTAAATGTCATTAAAATACACCTCAAAAGTCGGGAAATCTCATTTCTCGCCATTTAGGAAACAACATTTTTCCGGGAAGGACCTCGACCCCCTTTCATTTTGAAGTCAATTATTCTAGGAATCATTTTTTCCGACACTTTCTCTTTTGTTTTTATTTTTTTATTTATTTTTTTTAAACATTTTGACTCCATCCTAAATCTGAAGCCAAATTGCCTCTGGAGATGATAAGGGCATCCCAAGGTGAGTGATGGGATGGGGGTAAATGCCCGATGAAGTGGGACCGCTCATTGAATTTCTTTTTTTAAAATTTATTTATTTAGCATCCATTCAAATACAACAATTATTGCTCACGCAAATTATAGCGATATTAGGTAAATTCAGTCTGTTTGACCGTGATCTTTTGTGCTTATTTTCACTGGTGAGGGCTGACTAATGGGGTGGACACGGACTAAGGGGGTACTGCAGGTGTCTTCTTAACACTCCACCTTCCACACTTTTCTTTGAAGAAATGTATTTTAATAATGTCACATAAAGTGTAAAATGTTCTAATTTGAATTTGCCGGTCTACAAACCCTCATTCGTGTCATACTGAGCTCTGGCAAGTTATTCTGTCTAGATCTTAAATTTTACGTCATCCAATAAAAAAAATACTTTAATGACGTCATACATATTTAAATATGCTTGCGTTGAAATCTACAGGTTAGAAAACCCATTATATGTTCTAATAACCAAGGTAATATGAATCTGCCTAGGTGTTACAATGAATATTTTACTCATCCAATCAAAAAACAGTAATACATATTTAAAAATAGTTTAATTGAATTCAGCAGGTTTGAAAACCCCTTAAACAGTCTTAACATGAACATAATCAGTATTTTCTTATGAGTATTGACTTTTGGCACACTTTGAAACAAATAATTCTGGCCCACTGTTCGGCGGGGTAAAATTAGAAGATGTAACAGCAGTATGTTCCACTAACTTAAATTTCGTACTCGGTAAAATGTGTTATACCGAGCCGATTTTTATCATTCAAATGTCGTTATGAGGTGCTAGTTAACGTTTAATAATATTTATGGAAAGAAAATAATGAAATTATGTCTCTTAATAGAAGTTCATATGCACCAGCCAAATATAGTAGAATTGTTTATCAGTGAGATTAATCTGTGAATAAACAATTTTAATTACTTGTGTAAATATAAAGATGTGGGTAAACCCACAACTTTATATACGACTTTTCATGGATCTCGACCTGCTGTGACGCTTTAAAAGTGCAAAAAAGCTCCGGCTTCTTGACCTCACCTTGCCTGTATACAGTATTCGAAAGCGGCGCTTGGCGAAAAAAAATCACGTTTCTACGGCGCTTATTCGAGGGCGGCGCTTATTCGAGAATTTTTAGTTGTACTAACAAACTCTTGTGTTTTAACTTAATTGGGTATGGTGGTGTTTGTTTTTTCAGTTTTATTCAACAATTGCCCAGTAGAAGATCAGGTGGTAAATAATTCAGGAGCGTTTCCATATGCCTACACTATCCCCGAGATAACAGCCAACGTGAATTCCTCTGGCGTTGCAGCATCGGTCACACTAACTTCATCACCGCCATTTATTCCAGGTGTCGTTGCGAATTTTCCAATTAATACAGCTCAAGTTCTTCCATATACGGCAACCGCTCCTGGCGAAGATAATGCAATTTGCTCATTTACTCTCTACGTATATGGTGAGTGTTTCTTAAAACTCAAAAAATCTTTCATTGAAATAAACGTCAGATAAACAGTTGACGATTTTCCCCACCAACACCTTTTTCTTTTCCTCTCTCTTCAATAAGTATATAATTATCCTTACACTATACTTATGTTCAATATTTTTTATTAGGCCTATGTATCTCTTTTCAATTTAGGGTAGGCATATTTTTACAATTCTCTTTCCACATTATGTTTAATAAACCTTAATAATAACATATATATATATGTATATATAATACATTATATATATATATAAATCATCAAAGAAAGGTAAATACAGTGATTTATATATATATATATATATATATATGTATATA